GTCCTTAATTAATAAAAGTTAGTTTTAAAACATGATTTAGAGTTACAGAAGCTTTCTAACCATTTTGCGTGATTTAGAAATTTAATGTTCTAATGAAAAATGATTTTAATACCAAAAATTTTTTCTTAATTCTTATTCTAATAAAACTTTTTCCAAAATTAAGTACTTAAAGTCAGTATGGTACTAGTTGGGTTCAGTGCACTTCTTGAGTCATAATTACTTCTATTTTAAATGAATTAATATATTTTAATAAATATTATCTTAAGGAAAAATAAGCATGAAATTTTTGTTTGAAATAAATGAGTGTCATTAATTTAAAATTAAGAAACCTCTGAATTAATTTACATATATCTAGCCTTCTTTAAAGTTTGTTAATATAAATTATTTTTAATTTTGTTTTGGTTTTTGGTTAACCTTACAGTTAACAATTCAACCCCAAAGAATTCATGTCAGTTATCAAAACTAAACTTATTTTGCTTAACGTCTCGATAACAAATATTTTATTGCCTATTTATAATACATACAGTATTAAGATTAGAAATATTAGAATCCCACATCAAAACTCGCTGGCAAAAAATTTTATTAATAATTGGAAAAAGTCTGAATTTGGTTTATTGAATAAGGGAATAAAGAATATTTAACCCTAGTTGTAATTCGTCCTCTTAATATACTCTCATTAGTATTTTTTTTGAGTGACTGAAACAATCCAAAATATCCATATTTTACTGCTTTTCAAATATTATAAAAGTGAAATACATTTTTTTATTAAAACTTTGATATTTAACCAGGTGTTGTATTCACTAAATTTTCTTGTGTATTTATTAAAAAAAATTGGATACATCAAAAAATGAGCAACAAAATTTAAAGGAAAATTAGAATTTTGATTCATTAGAGCATTATAGAAGAAGCTAGATACAATTATTTAATGGAATCCTTTTTATAGGTTTAAAACTACTTATAGAACTGAAAAAGCATTATTAGAAATAAATAATGCTTTGAATCTCTAGCCTATACTTAAGAAGTTTAATTGTGTTAATTATCAATTTAGGTGAATTATACCAAAAAATGAAATTATATGATAAGGCATTTGAAGATGTAAATCATAGCATATCTATAAATAATAATAATGCTGAAAGTTAATATTAAAGAGGTATAAATTTGATCTTATAATTTAAGTAACAATTTTTTGGAGAAAATAATTATTTGATTCAGAATTATAAGATTGTATGAAGTGTGTTTAGATCAATCCAAACTTTCTAATGAGTGATAAATATGTTGATGACTATTATAACAGAGCTGAATATTATTAAACCTAATATATTAGGCATTTTATATTCTATATATTTTAAAGATCAAGAGATTTTGAGATTATCTATATAAATTATGATTATGTATAATAGAAATCTGTTGTAGATTAGTTGGAAAGTACAAAAGCGCTTCTATATTCACCAGAATCAAAAAAAATCCATAACCTAATTTAGCATACTAAAAATTTGAAACCTTTTTAAAAAAGAAGGATCTATTATGAATTGAAAGACTATAGGAATATATGAATATAAAGAAGTAATACACCATTGTTTAGATCAATTCTATTAAAAAAATTGAATTATAATTCTAATAATGTTATCTTTTTTTATTTTTGAATAGCATTTTTATTCTTCAGATTTATTTCTTACAAAATTGAGTAAGTTATGAATTAGAAACAATAAAATGTAAATAAATTTAAAGGAGCTGATATAATAATCCATTTCTTTATCAAATACGATTTAATTAATTAATATGAACCTTCATCTTGATTGTGTTATTAAAAAAAGTAAACAAAATCTCTGATTATATCTACATATTCATTAAGAATTTTTGAATGTTGAAATTTTAAGTTTATATATCCAAATAAATTTAAATTTACATTGACTGAAGAGGACATTAATTTTAGAGTTTAACTCGCTACAATAGCTTTGGAGGGATGTGATCTATTAAAAAATTAATCCAAAATAAAAATAAAGGGAATAATGAAGGAGTAAAATTAATTATTAGAAGAATGAAAACAAAAATATTGCCAAAGGGAGTAGATTTATAAGTAAATGCCATAAATTGAAAATTAAAAATAAGTATATTCTCATTCGAATTTTTTAATCTTAATTAATGTTGTTATTAATTTATTTATAAAATTTTCATCACCATATCATAATTTTTCTTCAGTTCTACAATCCATTCTCTAGTAATTATCTATTTTTTGCTAATTATACATTTAAGGTTTCATTAATTAGATCATGATTAATTTCGCAGTACATATATCTATGTAGTAAGAAAAATTTAATTTGATAAAAAAGATGCCTAAAAGTTTGATTTACATTGAGGGTTTTTTTTATTATGAAGGAACAAATTGAGATTTTAATTGTCTATTAAAACCTAACATTCATCTTTTGATATTTAATTTAAAGGTTTAAGAAATTGAATATATAAATAATATTTTTGTTCTTAGTTTTTGAATGTTAAGCACTTTTTCTTTTAGATAAGGTTATGCAACTGAGTCCTTTTTTAGATTTGAAAGTTTTATCATTTTATTTCATTCTTCACTATACTTCATATAATTGGAGCTAACTAATCGCTTATTTATCATAATAATAGATTATTATAATTTTAATAAATACAACTTTATAAAAATATTCTAGTTAAATTATTTAATAATGCATTTGATAATAAAAATAATAAAAATAATTATAATAAAAATCTTTTCTTAATATATATGCTTTTATAATTAATCATAATTGTCTTTTATTGGCTATCTGTATCTGAACTTGGAAATCATCGGAAATCTCTTTTAGTTTATTATCTACTATTATTTTAACTGCCTTTTCATACTTTGATTCTGATCGTTAGAAAAATCACGCTTAGAATTAGTCCTTCTTGTATTATTATTATTTCTCCAAAGCTTCATATAAATATTTTGTATTCTCTTCTTAAAAAATTTCTTATAATAATCACTAATTAATTGCTTCCTATTGAAGATTGATCCAATTTTCTAAAATACAAGCACCCCTATTAATAAATAAATAACGTAAATCTTTGACTTAATGGTTTGTAAATTCTCCTTAAAAAGATTAAAGCTTCTTATGCTTCAAAATATAGTTATGAGCATAAAAGAAATGTAGTAAAAATAGGCTTAACTAAATAAAATTAAATTATATACTGATAATAGATTGTTTTTTTTAAAGGTGGGCTTTAAATGATGCTAATATATTTTTATTAATATTATAGGAGGGTTAAATTTTCTTTTGTATTTTAAGATCCCATAAACGTATAGAATTATCGTAACTATCAGACGCTAATATAGTAGCATCAGGAGAGAAGCATACTGAGT